GGAATTTGTACTGTACTTCCATTTCGTAGATAATTTTATGGTTTATTTGTCTAAATGTCTGTTTAAATTAATCTAGTCTTTGAGGCCTCTAACCAAGGAACAACTCTTCCCTCGTCTTCCTCCTTCCAACACATTGTATTTCCAAATTCCCAGTGTGCTGACTCACTGCCGGGGGCTGTGTATTCTCTTCCAGAGCACCCCAAAATTTCCCTTTTGCGACAGTTCTTACACTTGTATTATTTGTTCGCTGTCCGTCTTCCCCAGGGAACTGTAAACCAGGAGAGCAGCAGCTGTCTTCATTCATCATCCTCGTATCCCCAGTGTCCGTCTCGGTGCCTGCCATGTCGTGGGTGCTCAGTAAAGAGCTGTTGAAGGAACTAAAAAGTTCTTAACCTTAGATTCACATTTCTAAGCTTAATCTTCTCAATTTGATTAAATGTAGAAATCTATACTTTCTAGTAGCCCCTGCCTTCTGGGAAGCATTTTCTTCAAGCATACAGAATAATTGGATTCTTCTGATTAAAATTATGTTGGGTAAACTGCCTTCACATACATAGTATAGTTACCTCCAGGGTAAGTCTTCTATACATATCAAGGGGAAAGAGAGGATACAGATTGCCCACAGGTTAACCTGAGCCTTTCTTACCAGAATCATCCAATGTAAACAATTACTCAATCCACTTACTCATGTGTCAGGCCCTATGGCTTGAATATTATATTAGTTTCTTAGGGCTACTATAACAAATTACCACACACTTCATGGCTTAAAATGACAATTTTTTTTTTTTTCCATTTCATCAAAATTTGGGAGTCATAAATAAAACATGTGCATATGAAGAAAATTTATACCATTTATTCACTGAGGGACATTTTGAGAAATACTTTATTCTCACAGTTTTGGAAGCCAGAAGCACACTCTCTCCTGAAGCTCTAGGAAAGAATCCTTCCTTGTTTCTTCCAGCTGCTGGTGGCTCCAGGCATTGCTTGAGTTGTAGCTGCATAACTCCAGTCTCTGCCTCTGTCTTCACATGGACTTCTCCTCTTTCTCTTCTCTTCTTCTGTCCCTTATAGAACACTTGTTGTTGTATTTTGGCCCACCCAGTTAATGCAGGATGATTGATATTCTTAATTACATTGGGAGAGGGGTGATGGAGATGCCATTATTTTACTTACTACAGATACTATAGGGAATAAAGTCCCTAATAAAAAAGATAGATTACAAAAATAGCAATTTCCAAAAAACATGATCGAAATTTATTGGTAGAAATAGTACAAGGGTCTGTGGGAATACATGGCTTGAGGACCTAACCAAATCCAAGCAACCAGAAAAAAAGCTCCACAAATGATGCAATGTTCAGTAGGAAGACTGAATAGGAATTCACCATGAGAGCAAATTGGGCACATTCAAGGAACTGGAAGAATTCAGCATGGTTAGAGAATGATAAGAGATGAACCTGGAGATACATGCTAGAGCCATTTGTGTAGAGCCTTGTTAACAAAGTGAAGGACTTTGGACTTTATCATGAGATAAAGACAGAGCTCTGTGACTGATCAACACCAGTACAATAAGAACGCAGAAATTATCCATCAGGACCAAGAGCTGCAGCAGGTCCTGAGTGTCCCTCTTATTTCTACATGGCAAACCTTATTCTTTTCACTATTTGATTGTAGCTTAATGTACAGCACTCTTTCAGGACATTTGGTCCTGCCCAAAACATCCACAGAGATATTTGGTTCATGCCAAAAGGCCCTTGAAATTCGGTCCTATCAAAAATGCTCATGAGTGTATTTGATACATGCGAAGTGGTCCTTGATATTTAGTCCTGTTGAAAACGACCACTCTTAAAATGTGAGTTACAACAAAAATAACGTAAACAAAATTTTAACAAGTTAAATGTATTATTTTATGAATCATGGACAAATGTCTCCATGTACATTTTGGACAAGACCAAACATGACCAGATATTGAGGACCTTTTAGCATGGGCCAACTGTCTCAGGTGACATTTTGAACAGAACCAAATATCAAGTAGCAAATCTGTAACACAGTATCATAGTAAAATTGCTCTGAAAGATTGTGATAAGGATATTTAATTCAACAATCTCATTTCACAGGCATAAAATCAAGATCAAGCAAGGCTATGATTGTTCTGGGACATACAAAAGAGCTGGATCTAGCCAATTGTTGTGTTAGTGAAAATGGCCCTATAACATACTGTCAGTAGTATGGGCTGGGAGCCTGACGAAGCATGGTTGGGGTGCCAGCTTTCCTGTGTACAGGAAGTATGACCTTAGGCAAGTAATATACATAACCACTTAAACCAGGATCGATAATAGAACCTACCCATTAAGACGATTGTGCAGATAAATTGGATAATGGATTTGAAGCACTAAGCATAGTGCTAGAGGATAGTTTGCTATTAAATAAATAGTGGCTGTTGATGATGATGATAATGTTTTCATGATCATCTCAGCCTATCATTTATAGCTTTTTACTCCCAGTATATTAGTGCATCACATCATACACTCAAATTTTCGAATGACATTTACATATATATGTTATTCTCTACAAAGGAGATTAGGATTTAGGATTCCTAGTGCAGAGGGTTAAGAAATTAGATAGGACTATGCACTTTTCCTTGTCACAACTTTATATTCTGTTACCTAATAAAAATTTTAATTAAAGCAAAGTTCATAAATATGTAATCACAAGAGTAGAAAAGAAGATATATTAGTAAAATGGGCAGTTTACCAAACTATTATTTAAATAAAACAACACGATTTTTCATAAGAGGCAATATGATTTTCAAAAGGCACCCAATTACATAATCTCCTCCATCTGAACTTTGAATACATGGTCTCAATAAATTACTTGCTATCTGGCTCCATGAAAATATATGCTCCAGGTTTAAAACTCTTGAACTATATTACGTATTTTACAAATACAGCAGTTGCTAAGTAAATAATGTTTTCTTTTTAAATGCCATTTTATCTTCAAAAGGTTAATGTTGTTTTCTATGATATCTGTTTCTTACAATTGTTATTCAATAATTTTTAATAAGNTGTTTTCTATGATATCTGTTCCTTACAATTGTTATTCAATAATTTTTAATAAGAAAATGTGACCTTTTAAAGCATACATTAATTCCCATGATATCAATGCTAGTTTGAAGATTAGGAAATTCAGTCAGAACCTAATAAAAATCTTTCATACATTATATACTGGATAAGATGCAACCATTTCACTTGTCTCTGTACAGATTGAAAACTCAATATTCAAATAAATTGCCTGAAAATATCTGGATTAAATCATAGTGACTAAAATCTAATTCCAGCATTTAATACATTTCTTACTGAAAACTAAACATAAATGACTATTGTTTTTATTTACATATAGGTTTCTTAAGAGGCATCTTAAGTGCTGTAACTGGTTTTTTACTGACTCAATAATAACATTTAAGGTTCAGATATTCTCTAGTAGAGATGCCATTTTTATGAGGAAGTTGTTCTGTTAATTGTTCTTGGGATATAAATTTGCATGTGATATACTGCGTACTTGATTCTCAGAGAGCTTTTCTGTTGAAGCCTTAAAGTACTCAAGTTTAATAAATTAATATGGTAGAGAATTAAGTAGTTTGCTTGTCAAATATATTCTTTCTTCGATTCAGTTTGCTACTTATAACTGATTAGATTAGTGGATTTTTATAGTGATCAAAATAAAAATCAAGCTTTATTCAAGTTAAAGGATATTAAAAGGACTGATTGATTTAATATTTTGGAATATTGATAATTAACTGAATTATTATTGTGAGTTATAGCATAGGAAGGAAAAATGAAACAATTATCTAGAAGCCTGAATTCTGGTGGTAATCATATGTGAGCTTGGGCAAGTTCTTTAACTTCTCTGGGCTTCAGTTTTCTTATCACTGTTATTAAGCAATTGCCCATATCCTATCCCATAAAAATTATATCCAATTAAAATTTCAGTAGTACAAAGGAGAAGTGCTAATGAACTAATTGAACTAATATATTTTTAAAGGTTTCTAAAAGGCAGCCCATGCAGTTTTAAGAAATGATTTTGTCAGAGACAGGTAATATGTTGCCTTATGTTATCTAGTCTTTTCATCAGTAAAGGGAGCTTTTAAATATCATTTTCTTAATTACTGCCAGATATCTGAGTACCAACTATTTATACCCTTGTGCTGTGAATTTATAACTTTAAACTTGAATTAAGCACTACTAAATATAAAAACAGTCATTTTTTTTTTAATCTGAGAAAAATATTTCTCCTTCACTTTTTAAATTAAATTTATTGGGGTGACATTAGTTAATAATATTATATAGGTTTCATGTATATAAGATGGTCATTCTTAAAATGAATTATACAATAGTTTTTCCACCTTGTAGAAAAAGACAACAAAACAGTGTGTGAAGCCCGGTTTGTTGGCAAAGTGTTTAAGGAAATAAATTAGCGCTTATATAAACAAAACACTTTAGCCCATCTGCTGATTTGATTTTGCAGCACATACTCAATGTTAGGCGGTGCACCGCCCTGGCCGAGAGGCCGCGTCGCTTGAGCACCGCCCAGGCACCGAGAAGTCCCGGGCTCAGTGCTTGCTTGGGGCGTGCTTGCTCTGGGCCAGGCCGGGTCCCCAGTAGGGGGCTGCAGGAGGCAGCCCATCCAGGACGTTTCTCTCTCCCTCTCCCTTCCTCCCTCTCTAAACTCAATAAAAACATTAAAAAAAAAAAAAAAAAAAAAGGTGTGGTATTAAGAATCCCTCTACTTTATTAGTGTTTTTGTAAAAAAGAAGAAAGGGGTAGGCTGTGGGTTATGACCTTAATCTTCAGCCCTTCTTTGGGGTTTGCAGCCTGTGTGCCCAATAAAGGGCAAATATGATGGGGGTTTGGCATCCATTAGCACATTTTCAAGCATACACCAGTTGTGAAGTAATTTTGGTAATGAAATGTCCCCAGGAAATGTTCGCCTTGTGTCTGTTTCAGCTTCCGACATGGCGGTGGAGCAGGGCCAGATTCTCGTGATAGCCACCGCGGCCGTTGGGGGATTCACTCTCCTGGTCATTCTCACTCTGTTCTTCTTAATCACCGGCAGGTAACTGGCATCTACCAGGGTATTCCCAAGATGTGCGAATAACGGTTTTTTAACACTACACTGCGTATCCAAATGCTTTTAAGCGTAACAAAGCCCACCCGAGAGAAAAAGGGATCGGGTCCATTCTGCTCCGAGAGGGGACGTTGTGGGAGGAGACCACGGCTAGTTCTCTGTATCCACAGGCCTCGGAATGTGAGGCAGCCAGAGAGGTGATAGAAACACTTTGAAAGCTGTGAATGATGAAGTTCTACTTAATAAGTTAATTCTGAGTTTTCCCTTCACTACAAATTATACCATAAAGAGTTTAAAGAAAATTTATCAGAGAAATTGAACAATTTATATGAAAGTTCTTTNATAAGTTAATTCTGAGTTTTCCCTTCACTACAAATTATGCCATAAAAGAGATTTAAAGAAAATTTATCAGAGAAATTGAACAATTTATATGAAAGTTCTTTATAAACTTAGTTACAGAAATATGTCATTTTTAATCCATTAAATATTGAAGGAATCTATATTGGAATTATATGAATTGGTTTTATAAATCCAATATTTCCTAACTTTAGAGCACTATGGATGAAAATTTAAAGTAACAATACATTTAATATAGCAGAAGACCCAGATCTGAATCCTGACTAGCTGACTAACTTCACCTATCTAAACCTTAGATTTCATGTATACGATCTTCATTCACATCTCTGTACTTCTGCTTGGTATTGACAATACAGAAATGTGAGTGAAGATAATATGTATGAAAGTATTTAAAAGAATAAGTGTTACTCCTTATTGAACCCTTGATCTTAGGCCCAGATTTTTGTCAGAAATTGTGAATATCTTCAGATCATCATATTTTCATTCCTTCTAGGAATACCTGGAGAATTTCCTAATAGTCTAAAACACACTCATCCTGAAAACTGCCAATGATTTAAAACTACAATAAGAATTTCAGTCCAGTCGTACATGTCCATGCTGACTCCAGCTAAAGTACACCATCTCTACTGGAAAACCCCAGTATTTAATAATGAGCCAAAATAACAACTCCTTTCATGGCCAGTATTTCAGTGAACTAGAAACAACCCCTGTGTTACTCATTTTTAAAACTCTACTTATATACATAATTTATGTAAATTTATTGAAAATGACAGAGGATATGCATATGTGAAAAATTGTTATCTATACTTTTGACAGCAAATGAAAGTTTCAGATCTATAAACTGACAGTACTTAGAAGNATATTTAATAATGAGCCAAAATAACAAATAACTCCTTTCACGGCCAGTATTTCAGTGAACTAGAAACAACCCCTGTGTTACTCATTTTTAAAACTCTACTTATATACATAATTTATGTAAATTTATTGAAAATGACAGAGGATATGCATATGTGAAAAATTGTTATCTATACTTTTGACAGCAAATGAAAGTTTCAGATCTATAAACTGACAGTACTTAGAAGGCACTTATCCAGTGTAGGTTCCTGACAAAATATAACTGCTACCTGTTAAGAGTGTATCTGATTTAATTGTCACAAACCTACTTTTACAGAATTTATCAAGGAACAAAGAAACACATTAATATTCCAAGGTGGTTAAATTGAAATGGTGACTTCTTTAGGAAATTAACTGTAAAAGGGGCACATTTACCCTATGTTTACCTAAAAATTTAATGTGTATAAACAGGCATAGTATTACTCTTATAATTAACAGTGTCTTGTAATCTCCTGCTTTGGGGGCTGATTAGCTGATAGGAGAGTGCTAACAACAATAAGAAAAATTATATACATATGAAAGAAAGCAGGAAATGATAAACTCACCCAATAAAAAGTACTAGTTTGGGCATGCCATGGCACCACCATCAGATATTGTTGGCCATCACTCTCCTGTTTCTCTCTCCCTTAACACTAGAGCTAACTAACCTCTGACAACCTCTCGCCATCATCAGCTTTAATACAATCGTCTTTTATAGTGGGCAGAAAACAAAGTTTGGTGTCTCTAAACCAACCAACTATTAGGTAGAAAACAAAATATTCAATACTATAGCCTTCAAATACCAAACATGACCTACAAAATTCTTAATGACTAGCAGAGGACAACTGGCTATTTAAAGAAAAAACAAAACCCTCCACATCCTGGTGGAGATCTGAGTTTGTTTGCTTTAAAAAAAAAAAAAGGTAAGATTTTTTTTTTCCCCCTGATCCTATCTAGTACTTTTTTGCAAGAAGAGGGATTGGAAGGCAACAATGCCTAGGACAGGAAAAAAAGATGCCAGAGGTTAATGTGGCAAGTCTGGAAAAAGGAAGGAAAGAAGAGAATGAAAGCATTTTAGTGCATGTAAAGTCACTGTGACAATTTGGTTGGGTTAAAAAAATTAAAATGCCAACATTTTGGGGGTAGCTACATGTTTAGTAAACTTTATTAGAAAAATGTTAAGTAGAAGAATAGACACTACTGTATTTTCCTGCCATTTATAACATACGCACTGCCCATGCATTTGAATTTGGCGGCACTGATATCTTGNAACACTACTATATTTTCATTGCCATTTATAACATACGCACTGCCCATGCATTTGAATTTGGCGGCACTGATATCTTGATACTACTCTATCATGAGTTGCACGTAACTTAAAGATAATCAGTTTGGAGCCTAGAAAGATTATTTAACTATTAAAGTTCCATGAAGTCCTACAAGGCGATCTTAATTCCAACTATATAAGTTATATTATGTTAACTAGATTATAATAATTTATATGTGATGGTTAATTTGATTCAGAAAGACTATTTTTTTAGTTGAAAGTTTTTTTGGAAAAGCTTGGGGTACTTTCTTAAGTATAATTTTATTTAAACAGCAATGTCATTTTTCCCCAATTTAAAAAGAAATGACTCTAATTTCATAATGGAAATTGATTTAAATGACCTTTTTAATAGTAATTCCATATATGGCAAACTTGGATGTAATTCTTAAGTTAAATTCGTATGTATTTGTAGAACAGAGGTTAAGTCCTTATTTTCTCATAGAATACAGTATTTCTGCAAATGATATAAATAGCACATATACAATGATATAAACAGCAAATACCCATGTAGAAAAGCATTTCATTAAAATATCAGAAAGTATTTCCTTGGCATGAAAGCAGACTTATAGAACAGTGGGACAGAATAGAGAGCCCAGAAATAAATCTATGTGTATATGGTCAATTGTTATATGACAAAGGAGGCAAAAACCTATGATGGGGTAAAGACAGTCTATTGAATAAATGGTGTTGGGAAAATTGGACAGATACATGCAAAAAAATGAAAGACCACCTTCTTAAACCATATATAAGAATAAACTCAAAATGGATTAAAGATTTAAGTGCAAGACTCAATACCATAAAAATCCTAGAATAAAACGTAAGGAGTAAAATCTCAGACATTTCTCATAGCAATATTTTTTCTGATATATCACCCCAGGCAAGGGAAACAAAAGAAAAAATGAAAAAATCGGACAGCAAAAGAAACATTAAACAAAATGAAAAGACAACCCACTGAATGGGAGAACACATTCACCAATGATACAACTGATGAAGGGCTAATATCCAAAATTTATAAAGAATTCATGCGACTCAACACCAAAAACAATCCAATTAAAAAATGGGCAAAGGACCTAAATAGACACTTTTCCAAAGAGGACATAAAGATGGCCAAGAGACACATGAAAAGATGCTTGAAGTTGCTAATCATTAGAAAAATGCAAATTAAAACCCCAATGAGATTATCACCTCACACCTGTCAGATTGACTATCATCAGTAAATCAACAAACAAGTGCTGGTGAGGGTGTGGAGAAAGGGAACCCTTGTGCACTGTTGGTGGGAATGCAGACTGGGGCAGCTACTGTGGAAGACAGTATGGAGATTCCTCAAAAAATTAAAAATGGAACTCTGTTTGACCCAGTGATTCCACTTCTGGGGATATATCTAAAGGAACCCAAAACACTGATTTGAAAGAATACATGCACTCCTATGTTCATTGCAGCGTTATTTACAATAGCCAAGCTATGAGGCGAGCTAAGTGCCCATCAAAAGCTGTGGTACACTTAGGTAATAGCATACTACTTGACCATTAAAAAGATAGAAATCTTACCATTTGAGAAAGCATGGATGAACCTAGGGGTTATGATAAGTGAAATAAGTCAGTCAGAGAAAAATAAATACCACACGATTTCACTTACATGTGGAATCTAAAGAATATAAATCAACAAACAAAACAGAAGCAGACTCCTGGATACAGAGAACAGACTGATGGTTGCCAGAGGGGAGGGGGGCTTGGGGGCTGGGTGCAAAGATGAAGGGATTGAGAAATATAGATTGGAAATTACCACACAGTCATGGGAATGTAAGTACAGCATAGGAAATATAGCCATTAATATTGTAATAACTACCATGCCTTTTGGTTACTGGAAATATCTGGGGGAAAGTATATGGTTGGCTAACCACTATGCTGTACAACTGGAACTAATACAAAATAATATTGAATGTAAACTGTAATTGAAAATTTTTTAAAATAAAAAAAAAAATTAAAGAAAATATNGGGGGAAAGTATATGGTTGGCTAACCACTATGCTGCACAACTGAAACTAATACAAAATAATATTGAATGTAAACTGTAATTGAAAATTTTTTAAAATAAAAAAAAAAAATTAAGAAAATATCACCCTAACACATAATAGGACAAACTTAAAAGAAGACATTACAGTCATTGTAGGTTACATATGTTTGGCCTAATAAACTTGCGAGAAGGACTGAAATGCTATCTTTTCCTGAAGCAGAANAAATAAAAAAAAAAATTAAAGAAAATATCACCCTAACACATAATAGGACAAACTTAAAAGAAGACATTACAGTCATTGTAGGTTACATATGTTTGGCCTAATAAACTTGCGAGAAGGACTGAAATGCTATCTTTTCCTGAAGCAGAACTTGAATACTACTTAAAGAGAGAATTTAATGATAAAGAAAAAATTTGTACTAAATTATTTTTAGCGTTCCATTTTCACGCTTGCCAATTTATATGACATCAGAAATTGCTTTAACATTCTACATGCTGGGGAAAACAATTTCAATTGCATAAGATAAAAATAACTCATTTTGAAATCTCTCTTAAGCACTTTGGTAGAGAAGCATTCGTTTGAGATTCTTCTATGAAAACTGTAAGACATTTCTGAATAAATACTGAATTTGCCATGGGATTTGAAGCAAAATTCATACTTAAAGAACAAATTGTGTGCCACAGATGTATTCTGTTTAACCATTTAGAATTAGCAACTTGATGAACTGTCAGATCATATGGCTGTTGATGAATTTATTCATGTTGAAGAAGTCATGGGAGATAAACACCTGCTTCTGTTCTTCAGAGCATGATTATCCCGAGAGAGAACAGACATGCTGCTACCAAATTTCTGACGTTAAAAAAAAATCATACCATTTAGCAGAAGATAGTTGTCTACATTTCTGAGATTCTGACTCAAAACCATTTTTTCATTTGACTTTTCATTTGTTGCACTAACTCTAGCTATTAGAAGTCATATAAGAAAGGACATGATAGTTATTGCTGATTATAAAATATTTTTCTAAGATTCCTATCATTTGGATCAATCAGCCCACTTGAGAGTGTTATTTTCTTATCTGGGGCTGATTTTGATGCATACAAAAAACTTTCTGTAGAGTATTTTCACATGTTATAAAGATGTTCTTAAAAGTGGTCTTTATGGTAAGGACTTTGCCCATGAGTGGTGTGTATTTTAATTGGCTTTGGTTCTCATCTAGCATAATTTGAAAAATTAGATTTTGTTTACTTTTTTTTAAAGGTGCCAATGGTACATTAAGGCAAAAATGAAGTCAGAAGAGAAGAGAAGAAACCACCTACAGAATGGGCACTGTAAGTAGTGGAGACTCTCTTCCATTGTTTTGTGCTGTTCCAGCAATTCAAGAGTTCCTTGTAAACCTGGATCGGTGAGTTAAGAAAGCCAAAAAATTTACTTCCAACCTTTCAGCATTAAAACTTTTCATCTGGTTTCCAGGTTTGTTGGTTGGAAGTGCACCTGCTTCTCATTAGATGATATTGCTTTTTTCCTAATTCTGCTTGCTGAAAAGCAAGACAGGCCGAATATGCTAAAAAGAAGACTGATTATATCTAGCTATTTACCACTCAAAATGTCTCCAGTGTGTGAGTTGGTTTTATGTAGTGGAGCAGTGGCCACAGAAATATTATGGAATCCTTATTCCTTCTCGTAAGAACTGTCATTTAAACATACAACAAATCAATGTACAGTTTATTAACACTAAAGAAGAAAATCAGCTCCGTTACTCTGAGAATATGTATGAAATCCTTGAGCTGACTACAAGGTTATATCCATTTGAAGGACCTCTTCCCAAGCAAGCTGTAATTACCACTATAGTTGGTTTGATAGTTGCCACCCTCTCCTCCCCAACGCCTACTTCACCTCCATCTCCAAATGGCAAACTACTTTGTCAAGGCAGTTCCTCTGTAGTGAGACGCTGAATTAACAAGAAAGGGATGTTCTCTAATTAACCGCAGTATAGAGATAATATGTGAGGTGAGTTGTTTAACTATTTAAGCTCATCTTCTACTTCAAATTGAGCCAAATGAATAAGGGACTTTTAAAACTGTCACCATCCAGGGGAGGGAAGGGATTTAAGTGAGGAAATTACAAACTAGAGGGATGATTTAGGGCTATTTCTAAGGTTCACATGATTTCTCTGAGTGGTCTAAGGACCATGTGCATTGCAATATTCCACTCTCACTCACCTAAATTCTGATTCAGAAGGTCCAAGGTAGGGCCAAGACATGCATTTTCAGCAAGCTCTCCCAGGTTGTTCTTTTGTACAATAAGTTTGAGGCTCCCTGCCCTGGCAGGGAAGAGAGAGCTGAGACAGCCGATACCAGGCATGGAACAAGCTGGAAACGCTTTAAACAGATGCAGAAACATGGATCCAAACACCTGGACAGATAACTTATGCTGAGCAACCTTAAGATTCACTGGGGGGCCTTTAGAACTGAAATGCAGAAGAAAGAAATGTTCCTGAGGTATTTATTATCTGTTTTCCAACTAGCAGTTTAGCATAAACTAAACCAGATGGGCCCAGCAAGAAGCAACGAAAATAACCCGAGTTAGCCAAGGAGGCAGAAGAAAGATAAACCAATGTTTTAAAAGACCAGAGATAAGTTAAATGAGTAACCAATTAAAATCAGTACTAAATTGAGTTTTTTTCCCCATACGACATATATTGTGTGTACGAGAAAAACGTGATATTAACTAATCAGTTTATTCCTTAGAAATATGTATCATCTTGAATAATCGAATAGTTGAATCATTAAAACACGTATTTGTTAATAAATAATACCTGCTTTCTGTGCCGAAAGCAGTATCAGTCCGATACCACTGGCCATCTAGTAGAAGCCACTGAACTTGAGTTTATAGTATTCAAACTGAAGTCAGAGCTCCTACTAAATTACAAAACTGTCATTCAGGATATATAAGAAATACAGATTATCCATTCTCCTTTTCTCCCACCTGAACTTTGGGAAATCAAGAAAAGCATAGTAGCCCTGGCGGGTATACAGCTCAGTTGGTTGGAGCATCATTCCGTACCCCAAACGGTAGCGGGTTTGACTCCTGGGCAGGGCACACACCCAGGTTGCAGGTTGGATCCCTGGCAGGGGTGCATCCAGAAGGCAACTGATCAATGCTCCTCTCTCTATCTCTCCCCCCCTCCCTTGTTCTCCCCCTTTCCTCTCTCTAAAAAAAAAAATCAATAATTTTTTTTTTAAAGCATAGCATTTCAGAATATTGTCAGGTCTAAGTATACCTAGAAATACGCTTCACTACTGCTGTTTTGAGAAGTACTAAATGTCTCATGGGTGCATATCCAGTACTAGAAGACAGCAGGCAAAAAAGGAATAAAAGAAATCAGNATCAATTTTTTTTTAAAGCGTAGCATTTCAGAATATTGTCAGGTCTAAGTATACCTAGAAATATGCTTCACTACTGCTGTTTTGAGAAGTACTAAATGTCTCATGGGTGCATATCCAGTACTAGAAGACAGCAGGCAAAAAAGGAATAAAAGAAATCAGCAGGCATGGAAGAACTCATGAAGCAAATTATTGCTAACAACGTTCATTTCATTACCTTTTCTAAACTCACTTAATTATCTGTTTGCTTACTTCTGAGATTTTTTTCTTAAAAGAGCATGTTTCTAAGGAGACCTAGACGACACTTATGTGTTGATGGCTTTCAAAATCTAAGCCACAAAACCAAGTATCATCCACTACCCCACAAATTTCCATAGATCATTTCATCCCTACTAATTCATATTCAATAATAATTTATATTCAATATTATATCTATGCAAAGGCCAAACATTTTGCTGTGTGCTTATTACCTATAAAACCATACCTAAGGTATTTGGAAGTATACAGAGATGTATAAGAGAGGATCTCCTCTCCTCCAGGAGCTAGAAATCTAACATGGAAAACAACCCAAGGAGCAAAACGGAGGAGTGACCACAGGCAGTCTGTGATCTCTGCTGACACTGAAGAAGTTGCAGATGTATATGTAATGACATATTCAAGTTTTCCCAACCATCCCTGTCTTAACTGCCTGTGGGCAGTGAGCACTCCGTCCCCACCAGAAAAGTAGCCAGTGACCAGATCTGTGCCTGGGATTCCTACCCTTCCCTCCCGGATTGACAGGGGGTCCTTTTCAGGATCATGTGCTTTCTGGCCATGGAAGCAACTACAGGAACACAGAAAAGGGCTATTATTGGTTGTCATCCTCTGACACTGTGCCTTGGGATCTGTTCTTTACTGCCTAAGAGTATCTGGAAGCGGGGAGACCCCAGGACTGGGGCATAAGTTCAGGAAAATCCAGTGCCTTAGAGTACAAAGAGTCTAGGATGGACACAACAGGCTTGCTTGTTTGGGGGACAAGAGGTGGGTGGGAGAAGGCTCATGCCTCATTTCCCCCGTGCCCTGAGCTGGATCAGATGTGAAAGGTATGGGTTGTCAGTGGTAAGTGAGCTGATTAAACATTTTACAGAAATATAATTAAAAATGTGCTTTCTGGAACCTGTCAGCTCACTTTCTATTAAACCACCAGGTCATTTTACATTAGCAGCCAATAAAATTTTTATTCTAAGTACTCAAAACTTTCATGGAGTGGGGGAGGACGGGGGGGAGGGGCAGAAAGAGAAAAAGAAATTTAAGTAATTAACAAGAATGAATATTTCAATAAGTGACTCCTCATTTTAAATATTCACAAGATGTGTAATTACTAAAAATATCTTTTAAACTAAAACACTCTTTTATTCTGTTTCAGTACGCTTCCCAGGAATTAAAACTTACATAGATCCAGATACATATGAAGATCCATCCCTAGCAGTCCATGAATTTGCCAAGGAGATTGATCCCTCAAGAATTCGCATTGAGAGAGTCATTGGGGCAGGTAAACATAAAGTCTACACTTTTGAAGATATAATTCCCTAATAGTTTAACTGGTTTATCAATATAATATTTTAAATCTTAGCAGTTTTAGTCATTGAAAATTTTTAAGAAATGAGAATTAAAGTTGTTATTTTTTTTTTAAGTATTTTAAGCGCCTTAATTCAGTTTCCAAACAATGAGAAAATTCAGAAAAGTTACTTTTAACATCTGTACTCTTCCTTCAGTATGGAGATAAATTACAATAAAACTAGAGTAATTCGGGAATTTATTTTTAAAAATGTAACTTCAGGAGTTTGTCACAGGTTATTATAGATTTACTCAAACCCCAACATCTATAGACATATACTATAATTACTACTAATATTGATGACCTTGAGGCTCTGCAAGATCCAGAAGTGTTCTGAGAATCATTAAGGGTAAAATTAGGATCAATATAGTTATACATTATTTTAATGTAAGTAATTTTCCCTATGTAGTATTTTCAAACACTCAGACCACTATATTATTAAGCTATTCTGGATAAGTACAAATTTATTGTGAATCAGCTTTCAAGAATTTATTCTATACATTACTTAGAGCACAGGCTAAGTCAGTGTAATAAGGAGACCCCAGATTATTCATTCCTCTTTGAAGTCCTTGACACAAGGTGAGTAATCCATGCTGGCCCAGGAGCTTTCATTCAGATCTTGAAAGGACCCAAGTTCCTTCTGTTCTTTGCTCTGCCTTCCCCTAGTGTATGTATCATCTCTGAATGGTCAAAGCTGGCTCACTAGCACCTCTCTTCCAGCCTGTGAAAAGATGGAAAGAGTTGTCTCTTTGGCTTTATTTTTAAGGCAATTACCTGGAAATTGCAAATATGTCTGTTCACATCTTAATGGTCCAAATACAGTAATGTGGACACACTTAAGTGCAAGAGAGTTTGGAAATATAATCTGTGACCAGCAACCATGCATGCAGCTAAAGGGGGGAGAGGGAATTAATTACTAAAGAGGGAGGAGAAACTGGATCCTGAAGGAGGGTATTGGTCTCCTCTAGATGCTGGATATCTGTGCAATACTTTGGACAGAGCAGAATATAGCAAAGCATGGTCATTCCAGCCAGGTAGCATAGCTATGCAAAGGCCAAAATTATTCCTTATGCCTTTCAAAGCTTTTCTTCACCTGAAGGACCACCTAAATAATTAGCTGGGACCAGTGCAAAATGAAAATGTAGAGTTCCTTGTTAAAAAGTGATTAATGCCTGGCCAGCGTGGCCCAGTGGTTGATCACTGACCCATGAACCAGAGGTCACAGTTCAAATCCCAGTCAAGGCACATGCCCGGGTTGCAGGCTGGATCCCCAGTAGGGGAAGTGCAGGAGGCAACCAATCAATGACACTTATCATTGAGGTTTCTATCTCTCTCTTCCTCTCTCTGAAATCAATAAAAACAAAAAAAAAGTGATTAAGAATTTTAAGCCCTAGCCAGCTTTGCTCAGTGGTTAGAGCATCAGTCTGAGGACTAAAGGTTCCTGGGTTCGATACTAGGCAAGGACACATACCTCGATGGCAGACTCAATCTCAGGCCCATGGCCACGTGTGGAAGGCAACCAATTGATGTGTCTTCTCACATTCGAAGTTTCTCTCTCTCTCACTGTCTCTGAAAAGCAATGGAAAAAATATCCTCAGGTGAGAATTTTAAAAAATTTTTTAAAGTGGTTAAGAATCTTAAGATAGCAACAAGAGCATTAAATAAATGGCAGGGCCCTTCTAAGCTCAAGGCTCTGCATGACGACTCCCATTGAACTGACTCTGTTTCCCAGGTACACAAAGAACTAGCACAGTCTCAAGAATTCCAGGGACAAGTGTAGAGAGTCCCTTGTGTCACTTGATTCCCTATGCACAGTGGATCATCTCATCTCTTATATAGCCAGGTCTCCCTCCAAAAGCTGACACAAGGGTCCTGTACATTTAATCCTAGTGCTTGCAGTCAAAAAGAGGCTGTCAAATCAGAAAGATTAAGAGCCTGGAATGTAGCCAGAGTCTCTGTCCATTTCTACTGAGCATAAAGAACATCAATAGGCAATAAAGGCATAATTGAAAAGAGTAATTGCATTATATTCATTTAGTTTGGTGGTTCGTTTTCTTGAGATAGCAGAAGAAGAGAGGAAGAAATGAAGTCGAATAACTCCGTCACACCGTGTCTGGCTTTCTTCTCTGACATGTTCTTTTATGCTGCAGTGTTCCATACTCTCATAGATACAGCAGAGCTTCTTCTCTCATAGCCCTCTGTGCAGAAATTAAACACCACTGTCTGAAATCATATTAAAAGATAAAATCAAATATCTAAAGTGTAAACAAAGAAATTAAATTTTACTTCAGATTCAGGGTTTTTCCAGATCAAATATAGATTTTCCCCTGAAAAAAATGTGTAACAGACACTACCAAAGTAAACAATAAGTATTAATGGGACTGTTTTAATATCGTAGTCCCCCTGCTTCATCTAAACTCTGGTAAATTATAATGGGATTCCTCTCATTTGCCAAAGACAACATCTAAACCATGTAGTCAATCCTACATCAGTGTCTCCTTTTTATATTTATTCATCTTTGACTATTTCAACTTTCAGATAATATGATAGGCACCCTTTTACTGTTCATCTTCAGGAAAATCATAAAAGTAAAAATGTTTTATGAAACAAAATTGTTATAACTTTCCTCTTTGTGCTCCTGACCAGTACTACTCCGTTAATTAAATTCATTAGGTCATACTGGTCGAGTGGCTCAGTTGATGGAAGCATCATCCTGTACACCAAAAGGTTGAGGGTTTGATTTCTGAGCAGGGCACATACCCAGGTTGAAGGTTCGATCCCTGCCCTGGAAGCATACCAGAAGCAACCGATCAATGTTTCTCTCTCACCTCTCACATCGATGTTCCTCTCTCTCTCTCTTCCCCTTCCTCTCTCTCTAAAAAATAAACAAAACATATTATATCCTCAATGAGGATTAAAAACATTTTTTTTTAAATGTATTAAGTTGCGTTTCTAAAACTCTAATTGCATGTGAAAAAAAGTTCATGAATGTGTGAACTTTTCCTACAGCAGCAGTGTGGAAAAGCATTGTTCAGTCAAACTAAATTAATAGAGTTATGTAACATCTATGACATAGTTGCACAACTGGTTATTTGCCCAATTTTTTACTGTAAATGCTTTCCTCAAGTTGTCTCATATCCTTTATTATTTCCCCCCACCTATTCGATTGTGTCTTCTTAGACTCCATTTCATCATCATCTGTAGGTGTTAGGTATTCCCCTGGGAAGTGTAAATTAAGGGACTTAAGTGGCTGTATAGGTGCTGGGCAGAGGTGGGGTAGAGTGGGGGACATGGGAGAACGAAACAAGATACCAGGTCTTAATAACTGTTAGGTAAAAGATAATCAGGTCTGATAAAGGCAATGAGAGTAGCAATAGACTCACAATTCATTGCTGAGGGAAAATCTGCAAGACCTGCATGATTTTTAACAAAGAAATAGGTAAGAATGTTTTCCAGGTTTCTAGTTGGGAGATGCAATGTGTGTTTATTAAATATTCCTTAAACGACTTATTAAAAAATGAACCCAAAAGAAACCACATTAAAATTTTAAGAAAGGAAAGAGCATGAAAAATTATAGCACACCTAACCCATAACACTTATTACCATGTCCACTGAAAATGTTTATTAGTTGGCCAATGTCTACTTATAAGAGGCACTGTGCCAATTATTTTTTTCATATTGAGTCATTATGCTCATCAAAGACATGTGTGCTCAACCTGTCTTCCACACACAGACTCTGTCCTGGGATTCTCAACTTTATAACTATCCAAATATTATGCGGCAAATCCTTAGAAAATTTAATTTGTCCTATATCTAGGCTATATACATATGTATTCTTAAAGTTTTTTATCTTTCACTATAAATTTTATTGTTTTTTAAAATGAGTTTTCTAGGATACTTTTTTTCTTTTTTTGTATATCGCTACTCTATTTAATAGTGGCAGATTATCTTTGCTCATCAATACAGGCCTGAATTTCCATGAAAATGCACATTTCCATTTGAATGAAGTGAGCAGCCCTGTTGCATAGGAGACTAACCAGATCATTTATCTCCTTTGACTTTTTGTATCATAAAATGAAATACTGTGGCCAGAGGACTATAAAACAGAAATTCCCAAGCTAAAAGAGCCAATTCAGATTAGGGTAGAATTATTATTTTATACATATCTTGAGATAATGAGGAAACTGGTAAACTGAATTTTAATCCTGAGCTGGAAAAGGTCATTGAAAGGCTGTCCCTTTTTCAGGGCAGTCCTGAACTTAGACCATTATAAGAAAAACCTACCAGCAGAGTATCTGTAATTTGGAAACATTATTCCATTGAAAAAATCATTTTTGTGTCTCTAAGCCCATAGGGCACCCTTCTTATTTTTGACCTTCTCTCTTTCCCTAGTCTCAGTGGAAATGCATAAAATCTCCCCGTCATTCATTCTATCCCTTTATCTATACAAAACTCATTATTGCCTCCACTATCAGCCTTATCTCCTCCTAGCTTAGTGTCACCGTATTTTTTCTCTCCCTAGAATAGCCCAGGAAGTTTTAACTGTTCGTTTCTCAGCAGTCATCTGCAGGTAACAGAAAGTCAAAAGGACAACAGAAAGGGTATAAAAGTGAGTGTCAAACCAGTGATTTATTCAGCCTAATATTTGGTTCTGGTATTGTCATCTTGTTTGAGGTCATAGTTGCCCGTTATGGTATATAAGGCAAACTATTTACTTTGTGTACCTCTCCTACTTCCCCTGTCATCCCCCAGCCAGCCTCTTATCTCTGCTCTAGAATCTATTATTTTTAAGTTATTTTTAAAACTCTCTTATTCTCTTTATTATTTGTGTTCCTCATCTGTAGCAGTATTTTTATACAATATGACAATAAGAAATGTAGGCAGTATGCCAGATGTGGTTTCACAATTTACTTTTTACAAGAAGAAAATTGTGT